AAATTTTTCTTCATCTTTTGATTTCAATTTTAGTATTTCTCCTCTATTAACTTTAAATGCAGCATTTTCATCAACAACTCTTTGTAATTCTAAACTTTTGCCTTCCAATTCAAGCTTCAAGAATTCAAAATCAGTTTTGAATTGCTCTAGTTCCATTTGAAGCATGTTCCTTTTATCAAAAACAAAGTTGTACTCATGCTTGATTTTTTTTAAGTATTCATTCAATACAACAATCTTTTTCTTCATAGTCTTATATTTTAAAGAAGTTTTTCAAGTTCAACATATAGACAGTCATATCCATCTTACAATTCATCATAGGAAATATCACATGAATTAGAAGTTACCTCAATTTCTTCTTCCTTTGCCATTAAGCAGAAATTGACTTTTTTTTTTCCAATTTTCCTTTTCTCCTTCTAAACTTGATGAATCACTATCAAACCATGTGGCTGCCACCATAGCTTTTTTTGGTTTCTTTATTTTCTTTGAGGTTTTTTCTTTGAGTAATGGGCATTCTGATATGAAATATCCTGGTTTTCTACATTCGAAAAACATCATCTCATCTTTCTAATTGAAATCACCCTTGTGCTTGTTTCTCCAAAAAGGACTTGAATCCTTTTTATAATTTTTTCTTCTAAACTTTTTTCCTTTTTGTCCCATTAGCATTTGAAATCATCTGGCTATCATGGCTTGCTCTTCATCATCATCAATTGATAACTCTTCTAATTCTTCCTCAAGCAAACTAATTTTGAGTGTCAAATTTTTCTTCTTCTCTTTGGCTTCTTCTTTTCCTCTTCCTCTTCTTTTTTCATTTCAAGTTAATGTGTGAGGAATGAGCCACAAATTTCATCAAGTGTAACCACATTAAGATCTTTGGCCTTCCAAATAACTGTAACTTTGGGTTTTCAACTCTTAAGGAGACGTCTAAGTAATCTTTTTACTAACTTATGTTCAAGGATGGTTTTTCCATGTTGATTGAGCTTGTTTGTAATATTGGTAAACCTATCGAATATGGTAGTGACATCTTCACCCGATTCCATTTTAAACAGTTCATAATTGTGGGTGAGTAAAGTAATTTTAGGCTTCTTTACTTGAGAAGTCCCCTCATGAATTACTTTAAAATTTTCCTAAATCTCTTTAGCTGTAATATAACAAGAGATTTTGTTGAATTTCAAAGGAGTGAGTGCACAATGAAAGGTGTTGATAGGTTTAAAATTTGTTTGGACCTTTTTGACTTTATCCTCAGTCCACTCATCTCTAGGCTTAGGCATTTCTTACTAGTAACAAAACTAGGTGAGGTGGGAACATAGGGTCCTTCCATAATAACATTCCACATTTCATACTCAAGGGCTCTAATGGATATGGACATCTTAGCGCTCCAATAGGCATAATTTGATCCATCAAATAAAAGACGCCTATTTTCGGATTGTCCCTCAGCAGCAATTGATTTTTATAAAGCCATGTGGATCTTCCCTAAAGATATTAAGCCTTAAATTTAAGGATATGGCTTTGATATCACTAGTTGATCCCATTTGAGTGCTAGAGGGGGGTGATTAGCATTAAAAATTTTTTGGTCAACCTTTTAAAGCTTGAAGATCACTTAGTCAACTAGATGAAGGAAAGAACTAGAATTTGTTAAAATTACAAGACACTAAGTAAAAAAGGGTAAAGAGAAATGGACAACGCAAAAGTACTTATGGTGGTTTGGTCTCCTTGACCTACATCCACTACCTAGATCTTCTAATCAAGGACTTTCAACCTAACTTCACTAAACCAATGGAATTAACAGCTTCCACCAAACTTTTACAAGGTAAGCTTCTAACCCAAGCTCTAAACCTTTACAACAAGCTTTAGAGTGCTTTCCATAGTCTAATTTCCTTAGAGAAAGAAGAAAAATAAATACAACTAAGTATCTTTACAAGTCTGGACAGATTACAATTAAGCTCAAACACTTTTTCTGAATATGGAATGAAAAACAAGTGTTTTTAGTGAAGAATATTTTTCTTTATGCTCAAAGTAGCTCTTCTCTCTTCAAATCTTGCTTTTTTGACTATTGGAGCTTCCTTTTATACTTGGGGAGTTAGATTTTTTGTTGGAGACAATTTCTAGCCATTAAAAACAATTTTAATACACTTTTAGCCGTTATTTTGCCCTTTAATGTTTAAATTCAAACAGGCAGATAGACTTTAGTTAATTGATTACATGCAGCTCTAATCGATTATAACTTCTTTACCTTACATTATCATACTATTGCATTCTTTGCCCTAACCGATTATGGTAAACTCTAATTGATTAAGAGTTCTCTATTTTCAGACTTCTTCTTCAATAAACTTCCTCTAACTGGTTATGAAAAGCTCTAACTGATTACAAACTTTCTGTTTTCACTTCTTTATATAGCAGTCTTCTTTTAATTGATCAGCACTTCCTTTAACTAATTGAAGCTTGACTTCTTTCAACGACAACTAATTAAAATCACTTTTAATCAACTATAAGATCTTCCAATTTTAAACTTCTCCATTTTGGCTCCCTTTAACAGTCAACAATATTTTCAAACTTGTTTTTGGTGCTTGAAGATATTTGGACCTTATGCTCTGACCGATTAACCAGACTTCTTAATCGATTAGCATATTTCTGTTTTGGTTTAACTCATCATATAGCCATGCCTTAGCTGATTAAGGTCCTTTGATAATCAGTTACTAAAGTTCTGTTTTTATTCATTACTTGCTCTTTCTTTCTTAACTGATTAACTTTTCATTAAACTTAGCAAGCTCCTTCACTTGTTGTTAATTAACAACTTTGTTAGAGGTGTAAAATTAAATCCTACACACCTATAGTGGAGTTAGACATTAATGAATGATGATTGTTTTGTTATCATAAAAAACAAATAGAGTCAACATTCACTACTGAAGTCCAATTGACGTGACTTTTAAACTATTGAAAAGCTAAGAGGTTGAGCTACAACTTTCATGTTTACTACTTCCTTTTGTTTAGCTTGGAAGAAGGTCAAAAATTATATCAAAGTTGAAGAAGTGTAGCAAAGCTTGATATTTCAAGACAAAACAAAGAGGGTCATGACCATGGAAAGAACCAGTGCCGTGGCACCCCAATCCACAAAGATGCGTTAGACTTCAAAAAACTTCCGTGCCATGGCCCCCTACCAAGCCATGGCTACAGTGCCCAAGGAAGGAACATGACTTTTGGTGCTTTATGACTTATATTTTGCATTCGACTCAAGCTCTATTTAATTTATCTTTCAAGAGCATGATTCAATAAACAACAATTAAGTAAGGTTTTTTTGAAGAAAAAAAGGCATTGAAGCTAGCAAGAAAGTAAGGAAAACAAGGAAAATTGCAAATCGAAGGCTTGATAAATATTAGAGTTCTTTTTTTCTTGGTTATCTGTATATTTTCTTTTTTAATTTTGATGATTAAATTTCCTTTTTGGATGATGTTTTTAGGAATTAAGTTGAACTAAGTTTTTAATCTAGAATCATGATTGAACTAATGTGTAGTCTAAATTTTTAATATTCTTTCTTACTTATGATTGATAGTGTTTAAGTTATTTATTTCAATCTTATTCTTAATGCATCTGATTAATTGGCCACCAATTAGATTGATTTGGAAACTTAAACGAAACTGGAAGAGGGAGCTTAGTATAAATGATGGATGAAATAGCATATGTTCAATATCAATTGCATGAGATAATTCATTTGATTCACGTGTAGGGTAAAGTTACATTTACATGTCATATATAACCATAATTAAAGTTTAAGATTAATGAGTCTTTCTTGATTTCAACTTGCATAGGAATACAGTAATTAGTTAAGAAAGATATTTTTATAAAAATATCGAAAGAGATTTATAAATAAATTAGAATTCAAGGTTAACAACTCAAGCCTATTTAGTAAGTTAAGAGAAAGTAGTAAAAATTCAAATAAAACATTGAGGGATATTGTGGTTCTAGACTTTTGGTTGATTGATTTTAATCAAATTGATACTTTTGCTTCTAGTTTTAACGTTAATTTTAGTTTCTTTAATTTTTAAGTAATTTTAAATTTAGTTGTTTGGATAATATTGAGTTGTTTTAATTTTAGTACTTAACAAAAATATTTAAGCAAATTCTCTATGGAAACAATGCTTTACTTTTCATTATATTACTAGTTAACGATACGTGCACTTGCATGGTAAACTAGACAATAAGTTTTTGGCCCCGTTGCTGAGGAACTGTTTCGAATTTTCTTTGTTAATATTAATACAAAGCAATCTTAATTTTAATTCAAACTTAGTTTTTCATTGTTTGCAAGTACTTTTGGTGATTGTATGTGAAGTGTGAGAAGTTTAAAGATTGTTCCTTTTGAGATAGAAATCAAAAAGACTCTTTAAAGACTTCAAAACGAAATTCACAAGCTTTAACTCAATTCAAAATAATGGCTGATCAACAAGAAGAAAACAAGTTTTTGCGAAAATTTGTTGTACCTCTCATTCAAGGCCTTCATACAAGCATCTATAAACCTTCCATCCAAGCCAATAACTTTGAGATTAAACTTGCAATCATTCAAATGATCTACACTTTGGTTCAGTTTGGACGATTGTTGAATAATGATCCTAATGCACATATTGTGATTTTCTTAGAGATTTGCGATACATTTAAGACCAATTGTGTTTCTAATGATGCCATTAGATTGAGGCTTTTCCTATTTTCACTGAAAGATAAGACAAAGAGTTGGTTGAATTCGCTTTCAACTGGTTCCATTAGTACTTGGGATGATTTGGCTAAAAAATTCTTAGCTAAGTTCTT